TAGTAGATTAATTTTGTTAAGAATTTTAGGTGTGTGAAAAAAAAAAGCACTTAAGCTTAATTTGTCTCTTTTTTTTTTTTTCTGTTAATTGATGTATTTGTCGTATTTTTCGAACTAGTTTTGATACAAAGATGAAATGTATCTTTGAATCTTATCGAACATAGGCCATTAATATCAGATTTTGAAAATTCTGAAATTTTTATTTTCAGTGACCTGAACTATATATTAGGCTAAGTAAATTTCTTTCTATTTTCCTTTCATTAAGAAAAGCAAAGTATCACAAAGACACAGTTTATTTAGAGAAAAACTTCGACTTTTATGGATGGTTGTGGATTATTGATGTATACAGAAAAAGAAAATTGCTTGAATTAATTAAATATATTATTTAAGCATTTTGAGTAAACAAGGTCCTATAATGCTTCCCAAAAAATGTGAAGAATACGAAGGAGGGTTCAATATTTAATAAATTTTCAGATCTGTTTAGTTTTGAAGGACATAAAATCTGATTTGAAAACACTCTTATTATTAAAAAAAAAACAAAAAAAAACTTGATGTGATATATATATATATCAGGGGCGGACCCAGGTAGAACTCTACAGGGCCCTGGCCCCCTTTCCCAACCAAATTTGTTTTCCCCCTAATGAAGTATCTCATGCCACGCTATACTCTTTCATCATCCTTTTTATTTTATCATAATTTTATTTTCAATATGACACCATCTTAATTCTTGTTTTAATTGATTTTTTTTTTTTTTGAAAATGCTTCAATTGAAATTTTAATTAACCTACTGATAAATGAATATATTTTTACATAAAATAATTAATTTGAGGGCTTAAATAAATATAAAAATACACTTATTTCTATAAAAAAAAATACTCTCTATGCACAGAAAAATTCACCTAAGTTCATAGAATATTCTTACACCTCCTTAGTGATTTTTCTATACCCATTGAATAATTTTCAAACATATTTAAAATACTCAAAATAATTAATTTACACAAAAAATACTATTCATGTGTCGAAAATATTCACCGAACATCAAAAAATTCATCCAATGGCATAGAATAATCTAACACCTCTCAAGCAAATATTATATGCAAATAAAAAATTTTTTATGCACATTTAAAACACTCAAAATATTTATTTTACATAAAAAATTACTATTCATGCATCAAAAAACATATAAAATATTTACTCAAGCATAGAAAAATTATCCTAGAGAGATGCACATATCATTTATGATTGATGTCATTTGTAAGTTGGTGCAGAAATTTTATCCTTAAGATTGTCGATTGTGGAATGCCGTAACTAAAGATACAATTTGAGTATTTTGATCATGTCGAAATCTTTTTGATTTTAAAACATTGTCAGTTATATATGATTTTGTGTAAATGGTTGATGAAGATAAGAAAATTTGAAAGTTATCCACTTGTGTATAAAGTGATAACACTTATTCTTACTATTTAATTTCTATGGCTATCATGGAGCAGTCATTTTCAGCTATGAGCATAATTAAGACTAAATTTCGTAACAAAATAAAAGATGATTTTCTCGTTCGATTATTTGTTAGTATATATTGAAAAAGAAATTGTTGAAAATTTTAGTATAGATTTTGCCTATAAATGGTTTTCGTCACTCGAAAGAACGAAGATTTCTATTTTGAATGATTATATTTTGAGAATATTTTAAAATATATATTGGTATGTTATTTAGAATATATATAAGTTTGTATAAACCATTATAAATTTATAAATATTTATTTTGGCTCCCGTGAATATTTGGTCCTCCATCCGCCATCGAGATATATATATATATATATATATATATATATATATATATATATATATATATAATACTTGTGAAACTTTTTATAATAGTCTGCCTCTATAAACGAGCAAAACAACAAATTTAAGTTATTATATTTTCTAAAAAAACGACAAACAAAAATATTATGTAAAATGTCTTCACGAATGTGTTCCCTATATAAAAAAAAATTATGATCGGCTTATTCTCGAATTAACTTTCATTTATCTATAGTAAGATTGTCACTTGTCAAATCTTAGACAACCTATTTATATCCAAATCGATTCATTATTCATATTTTTTCTTAAAATCAAATTCATGTACAATTCCAATCAAACTTAACCAGCATTCAAATAATGCCCACAAAGATTAGAGTGTTCAATTACACTATTAAAATCAAATTATCTACACACACACACATATATGTGTGTGTGTGTGTGTGTATATGTCTGCAAAAGCTCTTCTCCAAGATACAAGCAATAGTACTAGATGCTGAGGAGGAGCGAGACCAGCATTCGAATCAATGCCAAAAGTTGGAAGCGAAGGCTTCTCCTCTCTCACCTATACACATGGAGTGGAATCCCCAATTTGTTTAATCTCACCTTCTATTCTACACCAGTGACTTAAGGTTAGATCTTAATAGTGATTTTGCTTATATTTTTGGGAAACTCTAATAATCCCTAATATATTACCTAATGATCGATTGAATCCCCAAACAAATTATATTATCATTTAGGTCCCAAATGTTTCAAAGATTTATAAATTGGCTTCTTCCATCTAATTTTGCTAATCTTTATGTCAAATCTTCTTTATAACGATGCTGTTTTATTGCATAAGACAGGCAAATTTAGACACAAAATATTAATAAACTTTTAAAAATAACCCAATTGAGAAATGTTTGAAGCATTTTGGATTAAACCTATAGAATTTGTTGTTGTAGGATTCAATTAGGATACATAATCTAGGGACTGAATTGAAGTTTCCCATAATTTTTGGCTAGTCCTCTCAGTCGCATACTCATTTATGGTGGTGATGCCAACGATAAAATTGTTCTTAGTTTCAGTACTGTAATAGAGCAAAAGCTTGATTTTCATTATTTCATCTTTTCTTTCAAATAATGTTCAGAAGAAGATTTAACGATGGTTTAACTTCCCCTGAGGAAATAATTATTCTCACAAAAAAAAAAAAAAAAACTTTTAGTTTGTGGATTAACTTCCCCTCAGCCAATCCAATCCTAATCAGCTTGGTGGATGAAATGTCGAACTTAAAATTTAACAGCAATCCATATGGGAGAATCTCTTTTTGGTAATTGGGTGGGTGAGAAATTTTTGTACACCCCCGATTACCAAAAAGAGAAGAAAAGCTACCATCCGCTTGCTAGATTGTCAACTGTCAGCAGCGCATTGGCGATGGCTGAGACTGAAAAGGGCAATGGAACCTACACATGCAAAATGAAAGTTGCACCAACCTCCTTACTTCACATTGCAAGTGGACGTGCAACGACAAGACTCAAAAGGAAAACTTGGAAAGGGAAAAATAATCTAATACACCTCTAAGGAAGTGTAATGCCACAAATACTAGCAGATTTTACTTAAAAAAAAAAAAAAGCGTTTACTTTTTTCACTTAGGCTAACATCTGCAACCATATCGCACCACTAACATCACATCATTCAATCAGATAAAATAACATAGCGACTACCACAAATTGACATGCAAGTTAAGCCACGAAAATCTATGGGCTACGCTGCATGGTGCAACCAACACACAATCCGCTAATTCATTCCCCATCCCTTCACACACGAGACCAATCCCAACCTGATCCTTCTTAAATTTTTGAAAGGTATGTACCATCCAATGGTGACTGCACACACACACACACCAAAATAAACAAAAAAATAAAATATGATAAGTGTCTAATTTGCCAAATACTTTAATTGGGAAAGATCTTCCACGGATCCAGTCAAAGCCTTGTTAAAGACTTTCGCAGGGAAACCTGGTTAAACATCAAAGATTTTGCAAGCACCATTATGGAGGAAACTGACGAGGCTAGTTGTTAAAATACTTCTGAAGCAAATGTATGTACATAGATTTATTACGAAAGAGTTATTTCATAAAGGATGACTTTGAAAATTGCAAAACACACTTTGAATCCTTCTTATACAGCGTTCATATATGACTTACTAAGCAGGTATGTTGGAATCTTATGTATACAAATAAAATATACACAAAAGGCTCTCACAAGTTTTACACTTAAGGAACCATACATGGTCTTAATTATAACCAGCTTCAGTTTTACTTGACAAGTACATGAGTAAATTATTCCAAGAAGTTGACTAACCTATAAACAAGGTGATCAGCCGCTGCTCAAGTTGTCAATTCTCATGTGCTGCCAAACTTACCTGCAGAAATGGGTGCCAGAAAATTAGCATTTTTGTTCTTGTTTCTTGTAAATCTTACTCTCTTCAAGATCCTACATTAAAACTTACGAGCAGATCAATAGACTCCCATGTATTTTCACAGTACATCACTAGATTACCAAACAGTTCATGCTTGTATCAAGCTATTTTCACAGGATATCACTAGATTACCAAACAGTTCATGCTTGTATCAAGCTATTTTCACAGGATATTTCACAGGATATCACTAGATTACCAAACAGTTCATGCTTGTATCAAGCTATTTTCACAGGATATTTCACAGGATATCACTAGATTACCAAACAGTTCATGCTTGTATCAAGCTATTTTCACAGGATATCACTAGATTACCAAACAGTTCATGCTTGTATCAAGCTATTTTCACAGGATATTTCACAGGATATCACTAGATTACCAAACAGTTCATGCTTGTATCAAGCTATTTTCACAGGATATCACTAGATTACCAAACAGTTCATGCTTGTATCAAGCTATTCTACTGACAGTTTCATGTAATTTAAATGCTGAGAAATAATTCCAATTTCCAATATAAGTTGATCTAAAATGTAGCAAGTGTAGGATCTACATTAGTGGAAGGAGGATGACATCTTCAAACTATTGGGGGATTTCAGTGATGCTACAGAAAGCACAAACACAAAGGCTTGTTCAGATAATTAAGAAAAAAGGTTAAGGTTATATAAAGTTAAATAGGAAAAAAATACATAATCCTTACGTGCCAAGAAAATAGTTACCGTTTCTAGCTTCATTCTTCAGCAAGAATCAAACAGCATAGAGCCTTACAACCTGGTCAATCTTGGCACGACACACAGGGCAACCCCATTTCTTGTCTTTGATTTCCTTCAAACAACTCATGCATCCAGCCATGTGGCCACATGGAATGCAAGCTCCCTCAACCGGAGCATCTAAACATATTACACAGGATGAAGAACCTCCATCTTCTTTCTTTTCACCTGTGTTTTCTGGCAATTTCCCAATTGACAGGGAGGAAATATCAATGGGGCTGAAATCAATTGATGGGTAGTGAATGGGACCATCTTCTACAGTCTCATCTACAATGGGTGGAGCTGTTGGGACTGAACCCTGGGCATCAGCGATGCTGCTATTCAGGATTGTGGTTTTCTGAGTGGAACTGCTACTGGCTCCAGCTTCATGCACTGCCCATTCGCTGCTAGTTATTTTTGGAGGAGGTGCAACTGGTACATCCAGAGCACCTTGATTGCCAGCATTCAAAGAGTTACTCCAGCTCGTAGATGAACTTGCTCCAGTGCTAGAGTGGGTATGAAAAATAGGTTTCTCTGCCATAGAAGACTGGATGGAGGCATTTATTGCCATTGCTAGCTCTAGATCTTCGGCAGACGGTGGGGCAGTTGCTTGAACAACTGGAGTCTGAGAATTAAGCAGAAATTCTGGAGGATGCATTACCTGCAACATTAAAATCATTCATGTCACAAGTACTCTTGCAATGCAAAAAGAGTACTGAACACAGCCTTCATCTAAATGATATATAGATCTTATTGACCATGCAAGTTCTTACATTGAAATTTCCTACATATATTACGTAAACAACAACAAAGGGAATTCTAATTGAAGGGTATGCAACACAATTGGAATGCTGACCATAATTTAAAGTGTAACAGATCACAACCAAATGGATACTCTTGTTGTGACAGTAGGACCCTTTTCTAAATATTCAAGTAAAAGCCATTTTTTTAATGGAGCATATCAACCATTAGAATATAAATATGAAATAATTAATCAAGTGCAAAAGGAACTTCAATTGCCAGTATGCATTACCGTTTAAGTATTTCTGCCAGATAAAAGCAGTGTAGCAATCAGAAATACATGCATTTCTTCAGTAATACCCAGAGGATGGTCACTAGTGTTCATCTCAGGGGAGTTTGAGCACGAGGTACCACTTAAACAGTAACAAGGGCTTGTAACTCTCTGAAGGAAAGCATAATGACTAGTGTTCATAACTCTCGATGGGGGCTATGAGCCTCAAAGGAAAGTAGTACAATACATAATAAATAAATATATGGGAACAAGAAAACAGGTAGAATTTTAGGACATTAAAGCTTTGGCTTCTCCCAACCTGAAAAGAAAGTATGATGGTTCTTCAATATGAGTTTTCATTTTGACCCATGTTGACATGAAAAGCAATAATAACTCAAACATAAGGGGGAATCTTTTATGGAGCAAGTTGACATTTTGACCCATGTTGACATAAAATCACTTTGAGCCAAAAACATTCCCTGCGACGACATGAAATTCCTACCATCTTTGAAGGCTTAGTATGGACCTTAAGGGGGAATTTTCAATGGATCTGCTGAACTCCAGAGCAACCCTATTCTCAAGAGGGCTTCTTATTTGGCTATAGCATCTAAACATTAGTTATACCAGAGTCTAGATAGCCTTGGAAATTATTAAAAAAAAAAAAAAATTCTTAAAAGATAATGTGGTCTTAATGAAAGGAAAGGAAAGGCACATTCAAATAACTTTTCAGCTGAAAAATTGTTCAATCTACTTGCAACATACAAGTCATCAAGTGCTCTATGACCAAAGAAAAACAACTGTATACAAGTGTGAATCAAACCTGCGGTATTCCTTTGCATGCATCACAAAACCACTGAAGCTGTTGCTTGTCTCTTTCATTAGCAGGTGAGAGTTTAATGTGTGTTTCTGAAAACAAAACATATCAGGTTTAGTTAAAAAGAATCAATACAAATAAAACATGGATTTATTATTTACATATTAACCAATTGTATGTTACTTTTGGTGTAGGGAATTACCAAAAAATAAAAATAAAAATTGCTAGCTATTTGGTATAATGTCTAATTCAAGTTGGAGGCAGGAGCATGGCGAGGTACACTATATCCAGATTAATTTGACGATATCTAATTCCTTATGTTAGGATTATTTATCATACTTACGCCTGACAGTTTGAGTCCTACACCTCGCTCGTCTCCGCCTCCTGCCTCTTGAGACTATGCATGGACATAAAAACTCAAACGTAAATGTAGGGACTAGGAAATCAATATGATATCAACTTCAATGAAGGCCAATAAAAGATTCACTAATAGTATCAGGATAAGAAATTACTGGTGGAGTTATCAACAATCATCACAGAAGGATCAGACTGGTGAAACTTTGGTTCTTCCAGATTCGCTTTCCACAATGCGATAATCGTACGTGGTTGTGCATCCTGGTCATTCATTAACAGGTAAGAAAATTAACAAAAGAGAAGAAAATATAGCGCTTCAAAAAAAGTGTAGGGACACAACATCTTACATTTGCAAACACTACTTGAAATACAAATTTGAACAAGGAAAAAGGACTACAAAACTAAGATATAAAACCCTGATAGCAAACTATCATCGAACGAAGAGCCCTTTGAAAATGGGTTGTTTGTCCCATTTCATGCAACTTCATCAACCAAGTTTGCTTTGTTTTAACATGCAGTACAAAGTGAGTGGTTCCGAAAAGCAACCTATTCTGCAAAATTCTAACACCACAATGTCCCAAGTGGCAATTGATGCAAAGCATACTAAATGACAAAGCATGCTTGGATGTGGAAGCAGTACCTAAAACATGACCACCTCTCATGCAGCAATTCTCATTAGCAGCATGTTTAACCACCAAAGCGTCTATAATCAGTCAAGTCGGGAAGCAGAAGTGACAGAGATCCTGCTTCACAAGCCACTAGATTAGCTATTAATTCATGCATCTCCTTGATTATTGTATATGCCCAGTTTACTTCCCAGGCAGCTCCTATCACCCTACGTAGTTTATCAGTCATTGAATATGTAGACTTCCAGCAACTCACTACTACCACTAGCAATTGGGATCAGAAGCAAACCCATCCATAGAGTGATTCACTTATTATTATTCTATTTCACTGAAAGTTACTTCCTCAACCACCTCCACAAAGCTCACACAGTGGATGAGTGGGACCCACAAGTGGAACCCTCATTAAATGGACGAGACATTTCAGAAAGAATCCTCCAGTAAAATTAGCATTACTCTTTATGGAGACTTCTCTCTTCTAAGTTCTGAAGCCTTCATAATTCAAGGAGAAAAGAAGAAACGGCTGTATGAAAGATTACTCCAATACCATATTGTAGTAAAAGGAACAAAGTCTCCTGAGACAAACTGGAGCAAAGAGAAGTTTTATGAAGGATGCTACACCACAACCTACAGGTAGCGAGAGAGAATACTCATGCCTGAGCCGTGACACATTTTGACTGATCATTGATTATGAAGAATAACACACATGCCGTATTCCTCAGGTCAAAACAACTACCAACAAAATTGATTATCAATCATTAAGAAAAAATGCCGTACTCCTGCTGCAGTCACAGGTACCAAAGAAATTGATTATGTATAGAAAGGGTGCATTTCTTGTTCATATCAGTGTTAACGTTCAAATCTAAGAGCCCTCTGGCCTCCTTTCCACTTGGTGTCCAATTGGGAATTTCTTGAATTGGCTTATGTAAAAGTCAATTAATACAAAATCCTATAAACAAGTAAAAGATGCAAAGACAAATATCTCAGCAGTCTTTAATATTATTTTGAACATCACAGTTTTTAATATTCCAGATCCAAAATTTTGATCTCGTTTATGACTTAGAGCCTTATCAACAATTTCTTGAATTCGATAAACCTATGTAATACTTAATCCACACAAAATCTTATAAATTAAGTAAAAGCTATCAAGACAAAGTAACAGCAAGTATTATTTCAGCAATTCCAACCCAAAAAAAATTCAAGACATGGAAGGTTAACAGGGATAGCAAAAGCCATTATGAATTCAAAACCACAGAAATTTGAAAATAGAAGCATATTTTTTTTTCTTGGTAAAACCCATAACACCACCAAAAAACCAACCATTGTATAGACAGAAATAAAGATAAATCACTGATGTAAACTAGAGACATGCCAAACAAGAGCTGTAAATCTTAAAGACAAATACACGAATCACTATTATAGAGCCAAAAACTAAAAAAATAACTTTCAACAAAAGCAAAGGCCTGAATCATTATAAACTTCAACAATGAATGTAAATCTAGTATCTAATTTCTTGCAACTTAGAGAATTTTACTTGTCATACCTGCAAACTAGAATAAATGGCAAGTTCCAATTTGTAAGGCTTTCTAGGATTTCGGGAACCAGTAGGTAAAACAACAACCCATCTGCAAATGATATGACAATAGCGGGCATAAGAAATCCAGTGCTTTGTAAGAACAACTTGATATATAGAAAATGTTACATCATACAAGCCATTTAATCTGCCTAGATGACACATCAAATGACTTAAGAAGGAGTTGCAAATATAACAATTGAAACTTCATCAATGAGAGAACCCATGAAATACTCACACTGTTCTTGAAACCAACCGAGGTGCCAATACTTCTAGAAATCCAGGTCCATAAAATTCTCGCAACCAACCAGAGAATAGGCAAATGTGACTCTGCAAAGAATTAGAGGGGGAAAAAATCTTTTTTACATGGTAAATAACAGAATTTTTTTATTTTTTTCCACACTGTCCAATTACAAAGTAGTTACAATGACATCACAGCATGAACTGTTAAGCATACCTCAATTGCACGGACAACATTGGTGTGCCCTTTTGCCCTAGCAACTTCGAGAGGAGTTTGACAATCATCATTCATCACTAATGCATTTGCTGAAAATTCAAAAGAAAAAAACACTTATACAGCTGCAAGTACATAATGTTTCCGAAGTGTTGGCAATAAAAAAACAGTACATCTCACCTCCATGTGAAAGAAGTAACTTCACAGTATTTTCAAGACCTCTTTTCGCCGCATGATGCAAGGGAGTCCCCGCATTACGACCTGCAGCTCAATTGAAAAAGCGAAAAATAATCACACTCCCTATCCAGAATTCAACACATTAATTAAGCATCATCCATGGGGAGAGACAATTCCTTGAAAATATGATAAAATAAAAATACGATACTGTAATTCATTCCAAAGTACTAATTAAGCATGAATCTCATTTCTCTTAATTCAAAATTACTAGTAAAAAACAAAAGAGTAAGTAAATATTTATTTACTATTAAGAAGCGATAGCAAGGCTTACCGGGGCGATATGCATTGACATTTGCACCGAGCTCAATCAAAGCTTTAGCCACATTAAAAAGTTGAGGATTCAAACACGCCAATATCAATGGTGTTTTCCCTTCTTTATCAATCCACTGCACCACAAAACCAATAAATTAAAAAAAAAAAAAAAAAAAATATATATATATATATATATATATATATATATATATATATATATATATATTTATATAACAAAAACCGAAAGAGACAAAGTTTGGATTTTTGTCTATCAAATCGGAACCTCGAGGCCAGCGCCTTCGCTGCAAAGAGTTTTGATGCCTTCTATGTTGCCGTAATTCACTTGCTGATACAGCAACTCGTCCTTTGATTGCTGTTGCCCCATTTTTGTTTAAAAAAAAAGAAGGATAGATTGCGTTCTCTTCTTGTATTATTATACAATTGATTTTCGTGGCTCTCTATTTTCTCTTGTAATTGCTTAAGAAAGAAGACTACGGAAAGTCAATTAATGGGAAATAATTTGGGTGAGGAGCCGCTGAACTGAACTGACGTCGCCTCTATTTTTATGGTGTGGGCTACAGAGCGCGTGGACGGTGGACCCGAAGCCACCATCAAGTTCACTTGTTACATCTTTAAGGAATTTGCCTCTTTGGGCCGGCTGCTTTTATTATTATTGTTATTATTGATGTTTTCAATTCCTAACAAAAATTACAAAGAGGGCTCAAGGCCCAAAGCATAAAAACTCAGCCCAAACAAACTACTTTACAAGCCCAAAAATCACCAATACAATATAGGTCCTTCTGCGAAAAAAAGAACTGCTAATTTGATACCTAATGTTTAATCAATTTTCTATTTGACTACCTCATCTTTTATTATATACACAACTAATTTATTACGTGTAATGTTTTCAATATATATCTCAAATAATTTATGTAGTGTTTTTTTTCCCCTTAAGATTACCTTGATGACTTTGTTTCATAAAAAAATATTTTATTTTTTTCATGATTTATGTTCTTTACTTGATGGAAATGGCTGAAAAAATTCATGTGGATCTTCATTACAAGTCCGGCTTCGATTGAGATGGGCAAGGAGAATTGACAATTATCTCCGACGAAAATGGAGATGATGTGGAGGTTTGGAGGCTTCGTGGAAAATATGGAGGATGCATGAACCTCTATTCCTATCCCAACGAATAAGAAATATCTGTTCATTCGATTTGAAACTTTGAAGTGACACACGCGCACACACACCAACTGGTGGAAATCTAAGGGAAAATTAATCTGGAAACCATAAATAACAGCTGCAGCGTGCGCTTCTGCTACTGTGGTTGCTTTTTTTTTTAAAAAAAAAAAAAATATTTATTGAAGGTATTCTACATATTTAATGAAAATTTTGAGGGTATTACACAACGAAGAATTCATAAAAAACTCTGAAAACCCAGTTGAGACGAAGAATCGTTTGATATATAATTTGAGATATGTTGACGATATAGATACATGTATAGATATAGATATAGCTAGGTGGATAAAGAATCAAAAAAAGAAAAATTTCTGCTTTCAACTTCCACCAGGTCACATATTGAGCTATAAATTCAGTAAGTAGAAATCCTGCTCTACCATTAAATTTCTGAGGGGAAAAAAAATGATTCCTCGTCTAACGTGCTTTTGAGAACAAGTACATTTACAACTAGAAGGTTGTCAATGAAGTGGTTGAAGAGAAACTCCTTAATCCTACGTTGGACTTTACACATTGTATTGCAAAAGACTACTTTCTGAAACTATGTTTCTGTTGTTGGTCCTGCCTCACTTTCCTCAGTATGAGCTGGAGAAGAAGATGATCCAACCGGGGTAGATGGTCCTTCAGCCAGACTGACATTTATTGTTGGCGGACTGTATTTCTTAAGCAGTCTATCCTTGTTTTCCTTCCACCATATTTCTGCTTGCTGCTCCTGAAACCTTCTTTTACTGTTGAACCAAAGGAGGAAGGAATGAGCGATTGAGATAAGAAAGTCAAAGATATCGAAGTCATCAAAATAACTGTTTGAGCTCAAGAGTAGTTGATGGTTTTACAAATATGAAGGAAACTGGTGATCATTGATCAGATGCATATCAATTTCAGTATTCAGAACATTAAAGATTTTTTCTTTTTTTCTTTTTTGCATCACCTACTTTATATATTCCAAAGTCTGCATTTTTACTAGTAGAAAGCAGACTGTTATTGTTTCTAGTTTTGGTTTTTAGTTTTGTTCATGGATCCATGCCTGCAATCCCAATCTGACATATGTATAGGTTTTATAAATCCCAAATACAAGACAAAAACCTGAACAATTCCTTTACCTAGTAACTTACTGTAATGAAATAGTCAATAATTTAGCGAGCAGTTTCAGTTAATGGTAAACCAATGCTGCAAAAAATGAATCTCTAAGTTACACAACTATTTGATCCGTCTCCATATGGTATTTGTTGCTTTACACTGTAAGGATTTACAGTTACCTAAGGATATGGTTGCAAACTGGTATTATGAATTTCAATTGGATCAACCATTTTGTCATACCTGAATCTGACTCGCTTGAAGATCTTTACGCCATTGGGATGTAGAATGACAGTCACATAAACCCCAGGTTCAAACTGTTCAATAATTTCTGTTTGTGCTTTATCTCTCGTTGCTGAAGCTGTAGGTTTTCTGGGCTCGTTGTCCAAGCTTTCTCCAAGTACAGCCTCTGCCGTATGAGAAACAGATGATCTGCTGCTTTCCCCGGGGACACTTTCATTATTATGGGACAACTCAGTAGCTCTCACGCTATGTGTTTGGTCTTCCATCGTTTGCTCCAGAAAGTTTGAGGAGTCATTGGTCAAAGGACTTGATTCTGATGCATTTTGGTGGTCAGACCCTAAGCTTTCTGTCAAGGAAGAACTTTCAGATGCTCTATTTTTTTCTAGAAAATCTTCTATTTTAGAATCAATGGCTTTCAAGGTGTCACTTTCATGAGCCTCACGAGGCAACTGCTGCATCATCTCCGTCAACTAAATCACAAGAAAGGTAACAACAACATGGGCTAATTAGCAAAATCTAGAACATGTACCAACAATTTAAATAGAGTAAAAAGCCCTCCTACAGTCCTACTAATTGTTCTGCTGTTAGAGATGATCCATTCCACTCAAGTTTAGTCATGGAAGAGAACCGAGTGCAAATAAAAAATCTACTAGAATATATACGGTGAGCATTTCCTGGCTTGTGCAGAATATATATATATATTATGCTGTCATATCATAGCAATATCATAATCCTCTTTTTTTTTTTTTTTTTCCTTTAATGAATACGGAAAAAAGAGAGTTCAAACTTGTAATAGAAAGAGAAAAGATGGTAGTTGTAGTTGTAACTACCGAGTGTGCTTATGCAAGAATGTCTTGAGCATCAATACATGACATGTCAGTCCTGTTCTTATATTATAGGTGTGTTGTAGCTGTACGTAACATTACCCAACAAAACCTTTGTTTGTTTGTATTAGTTAACCACAGCTGGTAGTTTGAAATTCGTTTCTTTGTTTCTTTTTTCTTTTCATTAACTCTTCAAGAAGTTATAAAAAAGTTCTTCAGAATCAATTCGAAGTGAAAAGGTCATCCCAAAAATAATAAATAGATAAAAAACAGTAATTAAAGCTGTTTTTCTACACTGAATTAATAAAGCCAGTGTGCGAGGAAAAATTATCTGAGCTGGTCTCACTTAGTTGGGCTGTGGGAGGTTTATTTTATCTCCTCAAAATTATTGTTTGACTATTACCATACCTTGATCATTATTTGCTAGTGTGGTACAGCATTGAAATGGAGTGAAATATACCTCTTTTTTAATGGATTTGGCGAATTCAATGGCTGCGCTAGACTTGGAAGATTCTGCTGCAGCCAATTTTGCAGCTTCTTTGGCACGGTTTTCTAGATTATGTATCTCCAGTTCTTGGTTATCACACGTTTGCTTCAAAGTTTTAATCTGCAGCCAACAAGATAAGATAGAAGACAAAAGAGTTATTCCTTTCTCTATTGAGATTCAAGAGATGATCAGAAAACAAAGCAAACAATGCATGCAATTAAATACGATTGAAGCAGTACTTGGTTTTGCATTTTTGTCATGTCTTGTTTGAAAATCTCATTTGTTTTCTTGAGGCTCTCAATAACACCCCTAGAGAATCCAGGAGAGGCAGAGCGTGGAGGACTTGGTCTTCTCGAGTATGGTGAAGAAGGTCTTGAGTTGGCAGCGGGCTGAGATGAGATAGCAGTCGGGTGAGGCATTGAAGGAACATTAGGCTTCCGTGCATTTTGAAGAGCACTTAGTGAACCTGGAAATGCAATTTCTTTTAGTGGTAAAAGTGACGGAGCTTGTGAAATTCGGACTATAGAAGCAGACTCAGATTGTGCCCCTGGCTTTCCTGACTTGATCTCAAGATATTTCATAGGTTCTGTGGTGGGAGACAGTAAAATTCTTGAGAACCTGGGCTCTCCTCTATCCATTTTTTCCCTTATGTCCATGGAGCGGCGTGGAGCAGTAGTTTTCCTATTAATCGTAGAAGTATTACCAGACTCAGCAGCTTTAAGTTTTGCATAGCAAGAATCACACACACGGTGTGGTTTGCCTGGAGTTGGAGCTAATGCTGCCTTCAATGCTTTTTTGGAACTGCAATTATGGCAATGCACCAACCCACAATTGTAACAATTGTGCCTCTTTCTAGTAAAACCAAACGCTTGTCGACAACCAGAGCAAACTGATTGGTCAGCTCCAGAAACCCACTTGTGGATGCATATACTGGAAGTAAAATTTGAGCCACATGATACGTTCTTGACATGCCTCTCTTTCAGTGCTTCAACCATCGTTGGAATTTTCCTATCTTCTGTGTCTCCATGTCCCAACTGTCCATTGGAACCTCTCCCCCAAGTGAATACTTCACTTCTTGATGTCAAGACAGCAATGTGATATGCCCCACAAGAAATTTCTTCAACGAATTCACCAACCAACCTATCTTGTACTAAGCAAGGGTTCTTTCCATTAGAGCTTGCATTGCCTAGCTGACCATATGCAGTGCCACCCATGGTAAACACGTGACCTGAGGTAGTGAGGGCAACTGTCATTGTATGTCCACATGCTAACTGTTGGAAGTTGTAGTCAATAAGGGAAGATACGCAGGTGGGAAGGAGATAAGTATCCTTGTTTCCATGGCCCAAACGATGCTTATCACCATCACCCCAGGTGAACAGCTTTCTAGATGAAATGTTTGAACCAGATTGGCTCATTACCTCTACTATAGCTGCAGTATGCCATACACCACATGCAACTTTTATGGTCTTTAGTCCGCTTAACGACTGAACTTCTTTGGGAATCGAAACGCTTTCTCGATCTCCATGGCCCAATGCACCGAATGTTCCATCGCCAAATGTAAATAATTTTCCGTTTGAAGTTGCCAAGGCTGAATGCCACGTTCCACATGCGATAGATAAAACCTGAAGTCCTTCTAAAGGACCTGAAACTCTTTTTGGTAACCAATGGCTAACATCAGTCCCATGACCAAGAAGTCCAGCATTATTGGTACCATCACCCCAGCTAAATAAGTCACCAGATGTAGAGACAGCACATGTATGATACTCGCCACATGCAACATAATCAATGTTAGTGACTGCCAAAGACTCGACGAGTTTAGGACGAGTAAAGTGATGTTCAATTCCATGACCAAGTCTCCCCCCAGATTCCTCTCCCCAGGTGAAAACCTCACCTTGCCTTGTTACAAGAGCAACATGGCGCACACCACAAGCAATTTGATGAACATCAAGAACTACGTTTGATTCCAAGGGTTTAGGAGTAAGCACATCATTCTTCGTAGGAACTGAGCTCACAGACCCATCAGGAAAAACATCGCTCCAGATTTCTCCCCATACATAAACATCACCCAATGATTCTATGTCATCTGGACCGGATCCAGCACTCGAACAGCTAGGAGTGCTTGAAACACTAATTCGGAAACCATCTCCTCCAGTACTTCCTCTTAGTTGCATACTTGAACGTTCTGACACATCTGAGCTTCTCGGATTCGAAGGAGTGTCACGAGAACCTAAATCAATGGACACCCTGCCACGGGCAAGACTTGAGGTGAACTCTAGAGTTGCACCAAAAGGACGGCCATTTTGATATAGCTCCCCACCATCAGTTAGCTGAAGCCAAAATGTCAAGAAACAAACTTAGGCTCCTCAGGAATAAACCGTAGCAAACTTAATATCAATTAAGAAAGAAGCAACAATAGATTTTCAGACTCCCCTTAATCGCAGTAGGAACATACACTTGCTCCGTTATGCGCAGTAAGGTCATTGTCAAAAACAGCTTAATGTGCACATGCAAGATCTGAGATCACTAACCCTGAAACATGTCCAGTCCATTATTGTGGAAATGTAATTTCATGGCCATCATTGTATTCCTGGTTAAATAGTCTAAGAAAAACACTTGGCCATTAGATGAACAGGATCTGATTTATACTTTGATTGAGGCTTACTATATTGCATATTTGGAAAAAACTAATGATGCAGGGTGTCATGCAAGTTCTTGGCACCAACTTTGTAGGTTGGTAAGCTTCTTAGTAACTGGTAGGTAAGAAGTAAATCCAAATATGAGTAGATCTAAGTTCTATCTAGCAGGTACTGAACTTAGCCTAAGGAACATACACCATAGGAGACTAGAAAGATGAGTACTGCAAATAAGCCTAGCATTTTAAGAGGACTGAAAAACTGATTTGTAGCAGAGTTTCCAAGCTATCCTATTTGTTTAAAATGTTCTAACAAGATCTTCTCATAGATTTTTCCACTCCAAAGCCTACAATACAATCAGTTCCATTGAATTTGGTAGGACTTGACCAATCAAAAGATCAAAATTTGAGTTAATTTAGCCCACTCAAGATCATTAATAGTTGCTAAACCGATAATCAGTTTGGTTATTCATGCCAAGGTCTCAAGAACAAAAGTAATTCTGCATGTATGTCGAAATGAGATCTAACATCTGAAATATTGCTTCTTGTACGCCTGTTATGACTTTTTCCAATCAATGCCTTGAGGCCTGCAAGCCACACCTCTGCCTCAAATTTGTCCTTGCAAATCTATGGATTAAAGAAAAAAAAAAAAGTAATTACTGGATCTGAAATTGTTGCTAGTACTAGGATAAATTAACATCTAAAAAAGTTTAAGAATGAATCTTTACTGGCACCGACCAGATCGAGAGATCTTTCACCGTTGTTATATAGAAGTGAAAATGACAAGTAATCCTTTTCAGGGCGCAAGTATCTTCTAAACACAGCCTGTTTAAATAAGAACATAGCAAACAAGGTCTAGACATGACACTTCAAAACAAGAATCTCAATGGTATTGTGTATAATTGAAGGTTAACTGAATGAAATGGATATCAACATCTATTTTCCCAAAGAAAATGTTCAACTCACAGTTCTCTGTCCAGGGATGATTCTCAATACAGAAGACAATTTCAGATTCTTTTCTTGTCCATGCGAGAACCAGATCAATGTCGTTTCATCCTGTTAATAGCACTAAAATTGAAATCATTTATAACCTTGAGGGTAATGAGAGATGCACCAGATTCATTCTGAGGGTCAGTATATAGATAGATGAGCATAAGCTGAAAGACATCAAGTGGTCTGATGACACTTAGAATAATATCAGCTAAATAGAAAATAACATACCGGAGAAAGTCTGAATGCACGAAACTTGGGTTTCCCTTTCCTGCTGTACTTGATTAATTGAGTGCCTTTTTTCAAAGTAACTAGTGCCTTCAAAATTAGGAGAGAAGAAGAAAAGAAGAAAAGAGCATCAAGAAACTAAAGCTTTCACGAAAATGCGACCAGAAGAAATTCTAGACTACAATTTTCAAATTTTCATGAAAGAGAACACAGCAGCAATTTTTTCTACCTTATCAGTGTATTCATCTAGAATTCCTGAAGGGCTGCTTCCAAAAGCCAGTTAACCATTTCGCTTTGATTGTGTTTATAACTTCAGTTATCTACATTCTAAACCAACACTACAGTAGCAAAAATTGGATTCGCAAGTTTGTCAATCTGATAACTACAAACTTTTAACACCTTTTCCTTGCTTTCCTCTTTGTTCACAGCTACGCCATCGCCTATTAGCATATTTGGAATCATGGTTTCTGAACCTAATCTTTTTGTGGTATGTCTTAGGGTTCAAAATAAGCATGCATCAGCTTAATTGTGTATAAAAGAGAGGAAAATTGCAAGTATAAAAGAAATTGTACGTCTAGCTTTCGCGTCCAATATACGTTAGGGATCCAGCACAACACTAAATGCCTGTGAATTGAACCTAATGAACACTTTAGCTGAATTCTTTGCTCTTTCATTGAACCCTTTGTTTGTTTGCCTTTCTATAAACATTGGATAAAAGAAAGCTGCTTAATAGCCAAAAGGAAAGCATGGGCAAGGGTGAAAAAACACATTGAGCAATGGAAAGGGGTAAAGAACTAACTTGTTCAATGTCACGCTCAGGATTCCCATAATTAACAAGATCTGCCATTCCATCTGAAAGTTTTGCTGAAGAAGAAGCTCAACCGACAACAACTGCATCAGGTGGTGCCACGGCGACTTCTGTGACTCAGTCTTCATAGATGCATATGTTTTCTTCTACTTTGGCCTCTCATCAACCTTCCTTTTCTCCTCGTTTGCTTAATCTTCTACAGATAGCCCAAAACCAAGCAGAAGAACAAAAAACGTGTATATCAGACCACATTCAACAATCCAAAACTCACAAATCATTAACGCCTTTTGAAATTATTACAACAATATTGACCCATATTGCAGATTTCAAAGAACATGACCCATACTTGATTTCACGATGAAGAATGTGATGCTTTCAGATTTCTCTTCTTTGTTTTTTTTTTTTTTTTCTTTTTTTCAATTTTCTTTGAGTGAAATGGATTCTTTAAATCGACCATGAAGAAAAATCAGATCAAGAAGCAAATCAATGTTTTCTTGTTTGTGTGTGCGACAAGAGAGAGAGAGAGAGAGAGAGGGAGAGAGGAGGCGAAATAAGAGGGAAGGAAGCAGCGTGTCACCTTGTTAAGGTAGTTTTGTAGCTAAAAAGCAATTGGGGTCAGATATTGGCGCGCTTCTTTGATTGCCGCCACGTCCTCTACCAAATTAAACTACTTTTCAAATCCTGTACGTGTGTTTTCTTTTATAAAGACAATAGGCATAAAGATATGTTTTTTTCAAGGTAATTTCAAGGTAAATTATTATTTATTCTTTATGGTTTTTTTATTTATCAGAGATCCAATAGACCTATTGCGTTATACAATGAAAATACTATTTCTCATTATATAATCATAAAATAATTAAAATCTTCATAACCATTAGGTTAAACTTACTTATCTGATAGATATAAAAATATGTCCGATAGTTTTTTTGTAAGCAGCGAAAATACCTCAGAAGAGTTATCTTACAAGTACGCAAGTTTTTATTCAGTCCTATGATACAACACCTGCAACTGTTCTTAGCACGCATTTTATTGAATAAAAAAACGGTACAAGGCTTCCTGATCGGTTGCTTCCTGTCACTCGTTCTTTTTTTTTTCCCTCCTCTCAAAAAAATGCTCGTGTAATAGTATTACAACAATATACCAAAACTGAAATGAGTGAAAATCATACCCACAGCAATAGGCCGGCTACTCAGCCCGTTAAGCTAATCTCACATGCTGCTAATTAAAAAATACTATAATTATCACTTTATTTAGCATCCATTAAAAATCACTTATCTATTTCTTTATTCAGTTTATATCCATTGTATCATACCCTATCCATGCATGCTCATATCCGTTTATTTGTTAATATTTTTCGCAAAAAAAAATCAGTTCGTTCTTTTTTTATGGTAATGGATAAAAAATGAATATCAATTTCACAAATATATATATATATATATATATATATATATATATATATATATATATATACTTTTTATGAATAAATTGTCTATTAACATAAATACATAATATTATTTTATCTATATTTAACTCATTATTCGTTAGGGTATTTTGAAAGTATAATTAATGGATGAACCGAGTGAAATATCTGGTTTAAACCCAGCCCACTATCATCCCTACACCCACCCAATAGATGTTAACCAGTGAAGCATTAACCTTAGTATCCAATCCACTACTCCATTGTTTTCTATCATGATCTCTAGCCTTTCTGCAAATGAGACGCAACATGTATAAAGAAAAAGAATTTGTATACAAATAAAATACAGGTGGCTGTGTTTTACGTTGGGGAAATTGCAAAAAAGAATTAACATCACAGATTCTAAGGCTACATCAGTTAAAGGATGGCCGGATCTTTGTATCTCTTGAAAATAGTCTCAATATCTGCTGTTACTTCCGCTGGCAGTGGTCGTGGAGCTGTCATAATAGCATCAACATCTTCTTTTAGTTGCTCAAGAGAAGTTGCACCGATGATTGAACTTGTCACAAATGGACGATCTCTTACGAATCCAAGGGCAAGCTCGACTGGAGTTAAACCATGCTTCTTGGCCAATTCAATATACTGTATGGTCGCTTCCTGAAATATACGAGGACCATCAAGCACAAAATCAAATTAGTTGTGATATTTCTTTTTGTGGTAGATCTACAACTTAATGCTCAGAGCAACCAATTACAGCAGCCAAAAAGCAATTTTCCTGCTCACGGCTGTCTTTCAAAATATAAATTTGATTGTTCTGACCCCAAGTATATGTGGAAGTACCTTTAGTTCATTTTGAAAATTGTTCAGGAGCTGTTTTACAATAAGCAAGAAAAATCTCAAAGAGCAGTGCTTTTGCAAACTAGTCCAGGACAACTAAACATAAAACAAGATTGAAAAAGACAAAGTCCAACAGTTCAGCTAGTTCTCAACCCTACACAGAATGCCACTAATACTATAACTGTTGCGACACACTAGACTTTAGATCACCTATTGTCTCATAACAGTTGCTTGCACCCTACCAGCTGAGTGAAGCATGCTGTCTCTGCATTCGTATATCAATTGACTAGAAACAAGCTCAAAAACTGTTCATTTCAATCTATAGAAAAATTTTAGATTATAGCGTTACCCTGGAGAGTGAATATTTGTATCTTTCCATGTAGCCAGGGAAGAGGTTCAGTCTTCCTTTTTTTGCAGCATCAGAGTTAGCATCCAAATATTTTCCACTCAGCGTTCCACCACCCAATGGAGAGTAAGCAAGTAAGCCAATGTTGCAATTTTTTGGGTGGCAGACTTCAACGAGATCAACTGCAATGACCAAGAAAACATAATTAACGCGATCTTGAAACAAGGCATCCAAACAAGTGCAACATTTCTATACCTTTCTGCAAGTCAAAGGTCAGAATTAACTTATTAGTGGTTGGGAAAACTCCCAGTTCTACTGAATTAATTAATTTATTAAACAAGGGACAGAACAAATACAGCTTGATATATAGTAAGAATTATCAGAATGAAATCAAGGCCACAAGGAAGGAATTAAAATTTTGAGCGCCAATTCAAACTGTTAACCATTGAACTTCAATCCCAGCAGAGCAATGTATGATAATGTAATCAGCTACTGAAAAAAGATGTGCATATCATATTTTCTGATAAACAACCAAATACTTTTCAGGCTGAAAATTTGAAACCTCTCCCTCCTAATCACCTGTCATCTTAACTATTTCTGCTGCTCAAAGCTTGATTTTACATTCCAAGCCTTGCTGTAGATCAAGTCAAGCTCAGGTTGGCTTATCTCAAATCGTAAACTTATGTCAGCACTGATTGATGAAAATAGAAAACTGACTGGCCATAACCACAAAACTGTTAAAGGGCTTCTCTAGAATTTTTAAAGGCATGCATCCGGATAAAAAAATGACTTAAAACAGTTAGCTGATAAATGAGGCCAGCAAATAACGATGATAACTAATAACCAAGTTCTAGAGCCATGGACATTAAAATACCGGATGTGTGAGGGAGAATTGGATTCAATTTGCACAAAAAAGCCTCACCCAAGAAAGAGAATTAAGTTGAGCAAGTAGAGATACAGCAAAGCTGTTGGAGTGAGATAACTGGATCTTCAATTCTTAAATTCATGTTAACTTATATGGAACATTGACAGTGGTAATTATTGGAGAAGGCTACATTTTGAATTTCCACCTGGAATTGTATGAAGAATAGTAACTACTTACCTTCAAAACGACACCTAGCTAGCAGACTATAACTATTTTGGATACTGACGATCTTTGGCAGTCCTTCAACTTTGGCTGCATGAACAAACTCCATGACTCCATATGAAGTCTCATTTGAAATGCCAATATAGCGTACCTAAAGAAATTCAAAGACATTCCATATTCTCAATTAATTACTATAATATTAGTGAAATTATATTAAACTTATGCAAGACAAAAAAGAGGCACACCGTAAAAAGACCTGCCTCCATGTGATTATGCCAAATGTTACAATGGGAAACTCATGTCAGAGCCATCTTTCTCTCCCTGGCCAGTAGATTGGTATATAGCATGGACTTATTTGTCAGTAGTGGCTCCTGGGTAGTGCTGGATAGTGTCGATGATTTATTTTGTATGCATTTTACAGATTTTGGAAGAGGCAACCAATGAGGTCTGCTATGTTTGGGTGAAAGTCTAGAATCTTTATAAATTGTCCCGCCTCAAGGGAATTATTATAGGCTAGGAGAATAGTTTTCTTAACTTTGTTGGGTGATGCTACATGGGCTCTTGAAGTAGTTCCCTTAATTGATATTCGGTGTATTGAAATGCTACCCCTCCCTGCACCCACCCTCCCCAAAAAAAGAAATCTTCTAACTGAACTCATACTCTCTTCTCTTTCTATTATTTCATCATGCAGTTCATGATTTTCTCAGTTATAGTGTTCCTTTGTAAATTCACCATATTATATCAAGAAAAGCGCACTATGGCATAAATATTTAACACATAAGGGAACTACAAGTTTCTAGAATAGAGCACCCAGTTACCTTTCCTTCATCAATCAGTTCTTGAAAGGCCTTCAGTTGCTCCACAAATGGCACACTTGGTCTCCATTTTGAGTAGTCATACAAAAACTCACCAAACACTGGTACATAGCGATCTGGCCTATAAGAAAGTCAAAACCACAAATCATCTGATGAGTGTTTTCTGTTTGTACTTCTATTTTGAATGAAAACAATGAAAACAAGTGGCAAGTATATGACAGACAAACAATTGAGACAAAATTGCCCACAACACAATAAAAAAGGTTTCCAATAATTTAGGAAGATTATGAATTTACACTCAGGATCATTAAGAATCTTGATAAAGGCCAATGCATACCTGATTTCCTAACAATTAGAAAAAGATGCTAAATGCAAAGATTTTCTGCTATTCTGGCAGTTCTTGGCCAGGCAAACAATGCTCATACAAGGTCATGTTGCAGAATCCTTTTAGATGGTTCTCTTGTATGTGTAGGTATTTAAATGCACCAGCCTTAGGCATTTATTGCATTACGAATCTTTGAAATAAGGAAACTATCACATAAGAGGATCAAAGTGACTCGGTTCTGTAGGAAGGTCCAGATCTTAAGTTCTTTATTAGACATAGTACAACCTCTTCAGACATATAACAGAGCAAAATCTGTTGCAATAAGTCCTCTTAATGTATTCTTATACTCTCACTCAGAAAGGAAATGTAATCATATAGGAGTACCATGGTTGTCTCTGTCAGTCAGAACCAAGCCATTAGGAAATACAATGGTGTGAAGAAACCAGTACTGGATCATGTATTTTGTATTCTCATTAATCAGCCACATATAGGAAGTTGAAATTTGCAAAATGATAGATGAACTAGCCAACAAGACTCAAATAACAAGCAACTAAAAAACTAAGGTAGCTGGAATCCAACATATGGAATACTTAACAAGCAACTAACTGGCTGTCCCTGTTCCATTTGGATTTGGATACAGTGTGTAATGCCCTAGGTAGCTGGAAACCAACATATGGAATATTTCTGGTTCAGTTGTAGGTATCACAAAATATATATCCTAGGGAAGTTAAAATTATGTGAAATATAAGCAGCATACTTCTATATCCTGAGCAAATTAATCGTATATTCTTCAATCAAAGTTATTGCAAATTCCCTTTTTGGGTCAAAACAACTAGTTTAATAATATTAAGTCTGAACTTAGCATGATAGGAAGTAAATCTTAAAGAAAACACAAAGTTACCAGTGGATTTGCAACAAGTCGATGTAATCAGTGCCAAGGCGCTTGAGGCTTTTCTCCACACTTTCTTTAATATTAGCAGCATCAACCCTCAAAACCTTGGCATTTTCTCGAATATAACTTGATCTCTCTGAATAACCACATACTTTTGTAGCCAAAATAACCTAAGCATAATGAAAGATAACCAACTATATGATTGATCTGAAACTGCTACTAAAAAATTAGGTACTTTAGCTGATTAAAAATAGTGTTGACCAGGAAAGATATGTGGTGAGGAAAAACTAAAGTTAATTGCGATATTATCTTTACATTTGGTGATTAATCAAACAGAAGCATACCAATCCATGAATATATCCACAGTTCCAGATTCTACTACCACAAAAACAAAATCACAGACCTTAGTCGAAAGGAATCAAATTAACACAATCGAGACATATTCACAAATCAAATTAACAACTCTGGAATAAAACTTCAGCATAAATTAAAACCACAGAGCTGCTTTGAGCTGTTAACTGCAAATATTATATCAACTTTATGTACCAGTATCAGTTACTGTTGACTTTGAATATAGCGCATATAAAAACATGCACCACTAGAATCCTGAACATATATTAAGAATTAACTGCTGCCTCTTGCTAAGAAGTAAGGACAGAAATTCAGGAAAAGGATTAGGAAAGAATCACATTGCTTTGATCCATTAAAATACTTAATGAGATTGACGAAATTGGAACTGTAAAGAACATTTAAATATCTTGATCAAGGATATCTATCATGAACTCCAAAAAGGAAAACCTTTGCAAGCAATGTGTCTTTACCAAGTACCTTATCACGAGGTCGAGACTTCAACCAGCTACCAACATAGAGATCTGTTCTTCCTTGTGTCTCCTTTCTCATTGGTACTGGATACTGCAAAGAAATTTATGAATATAGTTCAACCGATAAGTAAAACCATAAAAACTGAATCAGATAACACTAAACTCTAGAAACTAGATACATGCAACTTCCAATGGTGTTTAGCTTGGGTTGTGATTTTCTCAGATATTGTGCAGTTTCACTCTTAAACGTGTCCTTAGAAACTTATATGCAGAAAAGCTCAAGTCTAGTGGCTAGCTAGAGATGCTCATGTATTAAACTTCGAGTTTGAATTTGACAAAGCCCTTTCATTTAAGTAGTTGTTTTTACATTTGCAGAAGCACCTGCCTTTCAGAACAAACATGATTTCAAGTAAAAGAAACTACATGCAAAGAAGAATTGACAACAAATACACAAGTTGCATTTTGATCAAGGGTAACAAAACAAACTCATCATAACGTTGACAATTTCCTTAATCAAACTCCAAAATGACAGCAAAATTTTATCATTAACACTTGAAGATTTACTAGAATAAATGTCATCTTAACATAACAAAGCCTTGAGATTGGATTGGAAAATGAACAGCCATGGTCAAAGTGACACCCATCCAAGTTGTACTACAAAAGAAGAAATATACTTTCCAGTCCAATCTCAAGGCTTCATTGTGTAAGATGGTAACAAATATTTTACTAAATTATCAGGCGCAAAAGATCAAAAGTTGGCTTTCATTTGGAAAGCCTGGTCGAGGTCAGTATGAACCTTATGATGAATTTGGTTATTAAACTTGGATCAAATGCATACTATATATTTGTTATAAATTCCTCTTTGTTTGGAGGTTCTTTCACTTGACAGATTACATGCCTATTAAAGACAGTAAGGAGATTTTGATCTTGAGCCTCCTCTAGACTAAATCTTTTGAGCAGACTGAGAGTCTCGGGTTAATTTAAAAGTATAACTACACTAATTTTGAAAAAACCACTAAAGTCATATACAATTGAAAAGATTTGTCTAAATTCCAGTGCTTCAAACAGTGCAGAGATCATAGTTTTCTAGAGAATTTAAGACTAGTTTCCTATCAAATTGTGAAAGATTATTACACAATCTGAGAAGACTATTTGGAATTGTCTCCTAAAGAAACTTTTATTTTCTATTGGAATTATCACCATAATGAACTCTTCCTTCTATGTGTTTCAGTCCCTTAAATCTAGAACTGTTAACCCTGACAAATAGTATTCATTAAAGTTTATCATACTCGAAAAGTTGCAACAACCTAGCTCATATAAACCAAGATCTATCGCTTGTAGTGAGCAATCTTTGCGTTCGAAAAACAAAAATAATATAGCATAGTTTACTCAGAATGGACTAATCCTCCACCTAACCAAATATATGGTCGTTTGCATTGACATAAACTAGTTGATGCAAAGAACTTACAGCTTCTGCAGTGTCAAGAATATTAATGCCATGATCAAATGAATAGCTAAGCATTTCATGAGCTTCTTTCTCTGTGTTCTGTTCTCCAAATGTCATCTGAAACAACATTGCAGGGGGAAAAAACAAGAAGAAAACAGGCAAAACCCAATTATCATTACTTCATTACCAACTGAAAAAGAAAAGGAAAAACTAATTATTGTGCATATATATATATATATACACTTACAGTTCCAATAGTGATTTCGCTAATTTCAAGGTCAGAGTCCCCGAGTTTCCTATACTGCAAGGCGTTGGTCTTCTTCTCTGCAAGTGTAGCATTAATGGGTCTAAGCCTTGTTTTAGCATTGGACGCATGACGAATATTTTTGTATAGAAATGCAGGGGTTGCTGAGAAGGTACTGAAGGAGAAAGCCATTGTTTCTTTCTTTAAAGAAACAAGTGGCGCTTCTTTTGCCTCGTCTCTCTCCTTTCCCTTATCAACGCAAGCTTCGACTCTGCGATAGTGTGGCTTTTATGTTAGGCTTATTAGTCCCCAATTTATACACTGATTCTCAATTAGGTCGCTAACCTATTTTAATATCAATTATGTTGCTAATATATCATAAACTCTCAATTAGTTCTCCATCCAAATCCGTCGATCCTTCCCATCAAAACTAAGCAATTTATGCAATAAAAAGAACTTGATTGAGGATTTCTAAAAGCAAAAATTTAGTAGAAAATAGGGAGCTAATTGAGAAATGGGTAACATGTTAGGGACTAATCTGAGGTTAACTCTTTACGTTTTTTACCCAAACATTCGCAGTATTAACAATGAAAGGAAAGAAGATAATGCTGTTAAAAATACCTAATTGGGATAAAATGCTTAGTTTGAGTGAAAAGGTTTTAATTATTTAAATAAATAGTTTTAAATTCGAGTTTTTATATATATAAAAAAAATTTTAAATAACTGTTTTTACCTTATATATTTGGTGAAATAGTAAAAAATCAGTTTAGGTCTTTAGATCAGAAATACCTTAAAGAAAAAATGATAATTGGATACTCATAGTTCGTTCCATTCCTAAAATTTCATTTATTAGAATTCCAACAATTAATGTTTACAAAACATAACTTGTCTCTCAAAAGATGCAGTTTCCTTCTCTCTCCCTCTCTTACTTTTTTTTTTTTTGTTCCCTTACAGAATCTTTCATGATAGAAAACATTATCCCATTTTTATTACATAATCTAATTAAATTCTAAATTTGTTCTGGTAGAGACAAACAAACATAATTATATAGCCATGGTCATGGAGTCCGAAACCACTCGTGAGGCTTAGAAGCAAGTTCTTTGCTTCGATTCTGGAAATAAATGATCATCTCGTCTCGAGGAGGTAAATTTTCCTTGATCATAGGATGCTTGAGAAACTTGTTCATCCATGAATTTGTCGCTGGAAATTGCAGTGGATCTACTATCTTCATGGACCCAACTTCTTCCCACACCGGCAGCCAGTAAGACATCCATCCTATTGCAATGTCCAGGTAGCCAATGCTCTCTCCTCCAAAGAATTGTTTCCCTTTTAGCTCTTCCTCTATCTTTTCTATGGCTTCAACGGTTAGTTTTATTGCCTTTTCCTTTTCCTCTCCTAGGGAGCACAATGCATTCCATGCAGCATAAAAAATCTTCAAAAAAAAAAAAAAAAAAAGAAAGAAAGAAATTGAATTGGCATTACAAAATCCAAATTATGTTAAAACGCAAGTCGGCATTTGATTCATCTAAAAATTGAGAATAAATAGGAATGATAGCATCATTATTAAATTTTTGTTTAAAATCTAATTATTTTACTGCAATCCTAATATTGCCAAAAAAGGAAAAAAATCTAAGTGTATTGACTAATGTGTTCGCTTTGGGAGCAGAAAGGAAGCCCGGCCAGTTCATTTTTAACATCTACCTATATATATATATATATATACAAAAGCTTAGCTTTAAATATATTTTTAAATATGTAATAAAATTAAAAATCAAGCAATAAACAAAATTAATTAAGCGAATGGTAAGCAATAATCACCTTCTCTTCGGCAAATTTAGTCCAAAAGCGTGTCATGGCTCTTTCGTAAGGATCTTGAGGCATCAGTGGGCACTGTTTCCATGTCTCATCGATAAATTCAAGAATAACAAATGACTCAGCGATCGCTTTCTGTCCATGAACAAGCACTGGGACCTTTTTATGAACAGGGTTTAACTCCATGAGCAGAGAAGTCTTGTTGAATATATCTTCTTCTATGTACTCATAATCGACACCCTTAAGTTTCAAAGCCCATTCTACCCTACGCACAAAGGGGCTAACCCAGAACCCCAAAAGCTTCACCTGCTCTGTGTTTGCCATCAGATTTTTTCTACTTCCTCTTTGTTCCTCAGCTGCTTGTTTAGTTCTTTTATATACAAGTATGGTAGACTAGCAGCAGTAGTAGTTGGTAACTTGGAATTAGTACTGTTAAACTTCCTAGAAGCAAAAGTCAAGAGTAGAGATGTTGTTTTCTTTAACACCACCAATAGAAGACGAGGCACTAAATCAAAAGGGAGAAAAACATCCATAAATTGGACTGATGGGAAGATTCCGCATACAATTTGTGGTTTTCTTGTACCTTTCTGATAAGGATACACCAGCTGCCATGTTTATCTTTAACCCGTGCTTATCTCAACCTCTAGTCTGTACAATAGTATAGTTAAAGATGTCTTATTGTTAAGCTTATCAGCTAGAGTCCTTACGGTTATAGAAGTGGCATCCCTGTAAATATAGAAGTCTCCACTTGATACAAATCTACGTAAATATGATTTTCAGCTCTGTAAAATATAAATACAGATGCTTAATGAATGAAACATATACCGGAGCTTATGCAATTCTTCACTTTCTTTCATCCATTCTTGTTTTTCTTCGTCTACGTGCGTAGGTGTCCCTACTAGGCAACGACTTTCCATCTTTTCTTTGTACGTCGTTTTTATATTATAGGCATTCGAATGGCAATTCTTATTTGAATTTTGAAGTAGATTGGCCCACGAGGACTAATCATCTTAATTTGCAGAATTATCAGCCACTAAGGTTGATCCATACATTCATTCATTCAATTTTGGTTTCAGATTCAAACCTTCTCGTTAATTTTTGGGGAAAAAAAAGGGTATATTTATGTCTAATTGTGTCATTCACATCGGTAGTTTATTTGGTTCCAACGTAAAAGTAAAAAGATTATTTCGAATATATGGATACAAATTTTATATATTTTTTTTTGGATTTGTAGTTAACCTAACCTATTTATACATCTTTTTTTTTTCACACACTGATTGAAACTTAATTGTTCGTCAAATTAGATTTAAGAAAAAAAAATTACTCAGCAAAATTAATTTAATTTGTCAAGTAAGATAATACATGTAAGGCAAGCTTTAACTAGCATTTAGCTAGCATGAGCGAACTCTCAGTCTTAACAATGGCGACCAGTTCTTATGTTAAAGCAAAACAAGGACTCATAGACAAAACCCAAATCTAGTTAATTCAATAGTTGTTAAACGCACTAGACAACCTGACACGGCATGTCATCGATTTGAAACTATAGACGATTATGAGTTAGTATTACCTAATAAAATGTACATTAAATCAAACTACAAATTTATTTATTTATTTATTTAAGTTGAAGATTACTCTAATTTGACTAGCTAATGTTGAGGAACAAAAGCCGACAATTAAAGAGTTGAGAAATTCTTTTGATAATTTGATTAATTGGCAAAATTAGTTCTGGGAAGTTATTGTTTAATATTTATAGGTAATATTTTTGTTATTTTTTTAATATCAAGTAAATGAAAAAGCAGGTAGACTATCTGGTTAACTAGTATCCTTTTTAGCAGATGCCTATCATATATTACAAGGAAAAAAAATCATAATTGAACCGATCGAAATCATTTTAATTTGACTAGACGACCACTATTAACTATTTATTTTCCTTAAGAAAACTAAAGAACTTTCTCAATCCATCATTCTATACGATTGACTGCATTCCAGCAACAATTTTTCCTTATTTTGTGAACCTTTTGAGTTTTTATAAACATAAAATTTCCTTAGTTAGCGCCATCACGAATATTTATGATCACACATAAATCTACTGCATATCATCATATTGCACCATCACACTTATTTATGAAAATACATCGAAGAGAAAGGTAACAATGAATAATTCTATATTAATAAACATGGTAAGGTACGTTTGGTTTTTACATATAGGCCACGTTTTTATTGCTTGGAAGAGAGGAGAGTTGTTGGCACTTCAAAATTTAAAAAATCACACGTCGATCAAGTATGGTATTTTTTTATGATGAATTAGTGAAACATAAATAAAATGATGTGTTTGGTCTTATAACCAATCAAATTTCAACGAAGCGTTCAGATCTTAAATGAAAGGATGTATTTGGTCTTATAACAAATCAAGTTTCGATGAAGTGTTGAGCTTCTAGTAAAACGGAGCATTTGATCGTATAACGAATCAAGTTTCAACAAAACATTAAAATTTAAATAAAGCGATGCGTTTGGTTTTATAACCAACCAAGCTTGATAAAACAAGTAAGACTTAAATGAAACGATGCGTTTAGTCTTGTGATTAGTCAAATTCGACAAGACAACATATCTAAAGGGAACAAAGGGACGAGTTACCAATAACGAGTTCACACCTAACTTTAAATCCAAGGCGATTACCGATCGAGAGCTATTTAAAGAATGGACATTGACAGAATCAAAAAAATCAACATACAATACTTTTTCAACACAAATTTGTTCAAGTTCTCTAGTTTACCTCGTAAATTTTAGTTTTTCCTAAAAATAGTTAGATACCTTTTATTGCTTTCGGTAGTTTCATTATTGTAATCGGTCATTGATTGTAAACAAATGGCGTCGAATGTTTCGATTGCTAATGATGTAAGTGTCATATATTTTCGATTTATGATATTTATATTTTTTTCAATGAGTTTTATCTCTTCGTATTGATGAGATTCTCTCCATCTCTTGAATTTTATTTTTTCCAATAATAACATTCTTTTTATTTAATCTTTTTTTTAATTGAGTACCCACGAAAAGTCTTAGTGGTCGCTAGGAGAAACCAAACCCCATATTATTTCATAGCGAAGTTTTTGGCCATAAATCAAAGCATCGATATAATCCGCTTGAGACCAAATTCGACGAGTAGCAATAAGTTTTAGTGACCACATTGGGGAGAAAATAGCAAAATATGGTACTACTAGAAGTATGACAAGACATCAACTCTCTAGAGATGACCAAATCAATGAAACACTCTACTTCCATCAAAGATATGGTCTAAATTTTTAAAAATGAACCTATAATAGAAATCATGGAAAACCACAATCATGAAGAAACCAAGGATGATAAGAAAACGGAACCTATAAATGTAATCGACATAGGGCAACATGATAGTCAAAACAGGTTTGATGTCGAAAGTTGAGAGCATATAGGTTTAAAGGGAAGTGATGGTTCTATAAACGAAACCATAACATCAAAGGACAACCATCGAAGAATGAACTCGCTAAGTTTCGGAAGATGCTATCTCGATCAAATTGAAGAATTACTAAAAAAGATATATGATCCATCTTTAGACGTTGGCACTCGGATAAATCGACACATATAATTGATAGCAAACCAACTTGAGAAAGATATCAACTTAATAAGAACATCCATAGCCGAGTCATAAAAAAAATATTGAAATTATTGATAATCATACCGCCAAACTATCGAGTTGTATGCATTACCATAGTGATAAAGTGATTACGGATGTAAATCACAAGTTTAATGAAACTCTTATTCCGTTGACGAGACAAGTTGCCAAAAAGTAGAGATTGTTATTGAATCAAGGTTTGAGACAACAACAAACATCACTCGAATAATGAAAGAGGATGTTTGACGGCTTATGGTTTTGGCAAAATAAAAAATGAAAGAGCTAGTTAAAGAAAGAAATTTCGACATCAATAAAAAAGTCGGATCATCAACAATCGAGCCGATGGAAGAAATTTTGACATCAATAAAGAAGTCGGATCATCAATAATTAAGCCAACAAAAGTTCCTTTAGGTTACCCACCTTTTGTTCCTAATAGACCATTCGATAATAAAAAATCGTCACGATATGCCATAAAATATTAATAGACATGCTCATTATAACAAAACTAATGGCCGTTCATCTTGAGCACCTCCCATGGTCATGTCGACACAACTCATACCTTCATATTATGGTCCTCCTCCTAACATCCCCCTAAGGGCAAAAAATAGTTTTTCACCATAAAATGCGCCAATTATGGCCACAACTAGAGGAAACAATTATGTATCCCATACCGTCCCTAGGAATACACATGGAGAAATGAATCAAAAAGTTTTGGTTAATATGATCAAAAGGATACATGGACTGCAAATGCAAAAGGTTAATCATCATGTTTATCGAAAGCCATATCTAGATTACATCGATGGGGAATATCCTTTCCTCGGAGGATTTTAAGCTCCCGAATTCACCTTTTTTTCTAGTGAGGATAATGTTTCAACTCTAGAACATGTTGCCAAATTTACTTTTCAATGTGGGGAGTTATCAAAAGATGATTTCCTGAAATTGTAAATTTTTTCCAATCCTTTAACTAATGCGGTATCCGCTTGGTATGTTAATTTACTACCAAATTCCATCTTTATCCGATAGGATATACAAAATAATTTTAGGCACGCTTTTTAGAACGGACCTTAAGATTTTAATGGTAGATTTAACAAGATTAAGGTAGTTTCATGATGAGTTTGCAGAGCAATTTTTTTCAAGGTTCAAAGAAGACAACATTCAATGCTAAAACAATTTATTGGAAAGCAAGTTTTTACATTTTGCACAAGATGAATTAGATTTCAAGCTTAGAAGAAAAATTTAAAGGCATGGTGTTTCAAGACCTTTACGAATTGACTAAAAGGGTTTGACTAAAAGGGTGTCAAGGTTCGAAGCAATTCTATATGAAGAATTACTTTAAAAAAAATACCATGGTTGGAACATATTGCTAAGATTCTATATTGGTTGATATTGATTTTATATAATATGTTAAAGAAAAGCTAATAACCTATAAACAATTGGCTCGAAAGAATGTATAAGCTCTTACAAGTTTTAAGTCAAAAGCAGATAGTAAATATTCTTTTGATCTTGATAAAGCGGACTCGATCTTTGATTGGCTTTTAGCCAACAATAGGATTAAACTCAAAGGAAAACACAAATTAGCAACTTTAAAAGAGTTAAAAAAAGGAAAATTCTATAAATGGTACAATATTTCATCTCATTCAACTAATAATTGTGTTGTGTTTGGGAGCTTAATTCAAGA